TCAAATTAACGAATCATACTTTCTTTTATCATCAAACGAATACCGTAAAAGTAGGTAATAAAAATAGAATATAATAACGTGAAAACTAATCAACACGTACAGTGCTAAAATATCTAGCCAGATATAACGATGTGATTTTTACATGGCTATGAAAGGACTTATATTCACAGGTTTCTGGTATTTTTGAATCTATGGATGTTTCAAGACATCTTTTAAAGGTAGGCGTTGTTTTGGGTCGCGTTGTATTAACCACGTTTATAATATAAAATTGAAATTAACACTAACTTTATTAGCAAAATACTTTAAATATTTAAAGATAGCTACCGAACAAATCAAGTTGCAAGCCCCAAATGAAAAATGACCAGGAAGTGTAAATTCTACTTTGGCAATTCGTTCATATGTTGCATAACGACCAGCTTCTTCAAACAGTGCGGTACTAGTCAAAAGCTCAATGCACAAAACACCAAGTGACCAAAGGTCAACCTTTTCATCATGTTCTTTACCTTAAACCATTCAGGTGGAATATAATTCAATATACCACAAATTGTTTTATGTCTATATATAAAGCAATCTAATTGAAAAATTATATTAAATGTAAATGGTATAACTTCTTTTTGTAGCATACCTTTGATTTGTATGCACAGACCATCCAAAATCTGCAATCTTGATCTCGTCATCCAAATCTATCAACAAGTTTTCTGGTTTTATATCTCGATGAATAACGTGTTTTTGGTGAATATAACTTAAAGCTTTAGCTGTTTGTGCAATATACTACAGTATTTTAGAACTTATAAATTTCAGAAAATATTTATATATTAAATTTATTCACAAAAATTAATAAACAAACCATTGATGCTTTTTTTCTTTAAGTCTACCAAAATTTACAAGTTGTTTATAACATATTCAAGGATAAGAACAAAATATTTATCATCTTGAAAATACCCAAGAAGTCGATGAATATTTGGATGTCTTTCGTATTTAACCATTTATTTAGTTATTAAAAAGGTGATTATATATTTTATTTAAAATTACCTTAGATTCATCTGAATTTCTACTTCGCGATACAGTTGTTTTTCAGCATTTTCATTAATTAGTTGCTCAATAGATAACACCTTCAAGGCTACTATATATTCATTCATTTTTTCCCTTGCAATAAAAACATTGCCAAATTCTCCCTTACCAATCTAAGTCCAATGTCAAAGCTTTTTAATAATATTTGGGGTATACTAACGATATAAAATGTTAATTTATACTGAAATGTAATTATGTATTTTCATTATTACCTAATGGATGGACTGAATGTATTTTTATTCTTGTCTTCTTCTTGATTCATCTTCTTTCTGCAAAAACGCGAAAGTAGGTCGACAAAGTTCTGATATATTTTTCACTATTTAACAATTATTTTTACATCAAATTCGCTATCGCAAAAAAAAATATTATATAGGAACTTTTAATATGACCGAAGTGATACTGTATAACACGTGTTAATTTGGAACACCGATGAGTTATTTTGAAACAAAGTGACAAATTTTCCACTGTACAAAGTGGGAGCTCATGCGCGTTATTTTGAACCAAATATAGCGATCAAAATCACATGGAAGGCAGGCCCAAATTTTGGAAATTTTATTTCCGGGTCCCTGCTGGAATCTTGATGTTCATAAATATGCAAGTTAACTAGTGATTTTTTATACTACATATGATAGAGAAAATGAAATAACGATGAAAACATAGAATAGGGTTGCTGTTTCAAAAAAAAAATAATAATAACTTTATCATTTCAAATTTGCCAACAAATATATAACGAAAAAATAAATTATTTGAACACAGCTCTTTTTTTATGGCCCCAGGGCTGATGTTCTAACACAACCCAAATAATCGACTCGAAAAGATATTTCTTTGTTTTATTATTTGGTTCTAATAAATTCGATTGGCCTGTATTTAAGATGTGAACTGAATATTGAAATATTGAACAGGATAATATAAGTTACTTTAAATCTATGAATGTTCATTAACTGTGGATTATTTATATTATCTGTTCAATATTCAGTTCAGTTCTCATCTTTAAGTCTATGCTCTTGAATGAAGAGATTGAATGAAAAAATCAAAATTATTTATGAAGTGTTTATCAACTAAACACCATACATTTTTATCATAGTTTGTGAAATTTCTATCAAGAGGAGTCAGGACTTGGGGCACATGGTTTTTTTTAATCAGAGGAAACGATTGTATTTTAAAACAATTCTTACGCTTTGACTTATAACTGTAATCAGGATACAATATATTATGGACTTGCTTTGCGTAATCTGCTAATAGTTCGTAAAGTTGTTTAACCTCATTACTTTCTTTATGCCTGCTTCTTTCGAAATAAAATTAAATTTGCGCCTTACATCATTTCTGTTATTAATAGCATTTAAGTTTTTTCTATATAATACAAAACTATTTTGGGGTCTTGGAATTTGCCGTCCTCTTCGATTTATACTTGGTGCAATGATTTGATCAAGAGGTAAGACTAATGTTTCATTAATTTTTTCCAGTGTTGTCTGATCGATATTCCCGATGACACGGTTTATGATTTCTATGATTTCTTTACTTTTGAATTGAAAAAATTTTGGGTGACAACGGCTTTTATCGTAATGATAAAATAACATTTTAAAGATTCGCGACTAATGGTATCATATTTATTTTTTAGAATTAATATTTATAGTTAAAGAAACAATGCACTAAATAATTAAAACTCATCTCGGATTTTTTTTTATTAGAGCATTTTGAATTCAATAATTCAATACAAAATTGATTAAATACAACACAATAGTCAGTAACTATATAATTTTTATTTTAATAAATAATACAATCGAATTCATTAAATAATATAATTACAGGTATGGAAATTGAATATACGTCATTCAAATCATTAAAATCATAAGGGGGGGAGTAGGGTATTCTGGCGGAGGTAATGTGGCGCACTTAAGTTTTTTTAAAGTATCTCATAATACAAAAACCAGAAACGAACGATTTTAACACCATTTAATTCGCCTTGTCAAGACGAATCTAATGGTGTTAAAATCACTTTAATTAGAAACTCTTGGCCACAAGATTAAAGCAACGTTAATAAAAAAAACACTAAAAATTAATTAAAGTGTATTCGGCACGCCCAGCGCCTCTTAAGAATCTGCTTCTTAGTAATTATTATTTGTATTATTGATTAAATGTTGAACTCGGCCTTAATTATCAGCCTTCAAATTTTAAAATTGTCTTTAAATTTCAGGACCTTAATAAGATTATAAAGAAATAATCTATCCTAAAAGGTAAAACATGTTATACTTAGTTTTTGAAGAAATGTTGGGATAAAGACGACCGTTAGCAATAGAAATTCATGAAACTACAGTATACTGTGTCAAAACCGATCCTACCAAACCAATAACTTGTCAAATCTGAGAAACGATCAATCCACCGTTTCTTGTTTTTGATATAATTATTAGAACCCTTTAAACCTGATAACCTTTTAAAGATACAAATTTGTCTACCATGTATATCGGTTTTAACAGGGTATACTATTCTAATACACAGACATCCGGATGCCGAAGATAAGTACTTTACTAGCCCGACCGAACAGCTCAGATATCAAAGAAAAAGGAAATAAAACAGGATATATTGAAAAGATCCCATATAGTGGTTTCCGTAGTTGAATTTTGCTATTGTACCCTGATGATTCGAGTGACAAATTTAAATGATGTACGTACTGTAACCATTGTAAGGGAGAGCTTGGTACTTTCATGCCGAGTTTAACTCCGATGGTTGACGTTAAAAGGGTCACATGATTTGGCAATTAATTAGATACAGTATTCGGATATTCATGATTTATTAGGCATTTATGATAAAAAAGAATGTGAACTTATGTTATCTTTATTTAGGAGAGGAATTTTTGAGAGCGTCTTCTCCCTTAACTAAAGATGAGAGCAAGCACTTATATGCATGATAATTTTTTAGAGCGTGATCATAACGACTACGCGGTAGCTTCCGCGTATTCGCGGTAACCACAGCGTACGTACTCGCAACAAGCAGTTGCATGAACTAAGCCTCCAACAATATATTATAATGCCTAATACTACTTAACATGTATGATAGTACAATTATGGAAGGTAAGTGACAACTTAAAGACTTAGACAAATACGGAAGTGAGGAGACGCAGGAAAAATTAATCGTTACAGTACGTCTCACTTCGACAATCATATTTCGCTGCAAGTTCATTTAGCCGACACCACAGGGTTAGGGTTAACATTTGATTAGTTGCAGATATATATTAAAATTTGTCACTTGGAGTGATGTCGGCCGGTAAAATGGCTGTCGATGAAATAAGGTATTCATATATTTAGTATATCAAAAGCCTCTTGATATAGTGAATCTACGTATCGACATAGTGAAACTTTTTATATTTTGATGTTTTCACTATAATGAGAGTCATGTATCGAAGTGCGCGTATAATTAATAAATATAACGACAAAAAACATTCATACAATATTTATAAAAAAAAATCAAACTGGGATAAATTGCAGCATATTTAAAAATTTCAGAAAAAATAATATTATAAAATAGAAATTTAATAATAAAGAATATATGATAAACTGACTAAAAATAATAGAAATTTTAAAATAATATAGGTATTTACATTCACTGTCAAAAACGGTTCATTAATTCTCAACTACCAAAAAAGCATGAATACCGATTTTCTTGTCTAATACTTATCGAACAATATTTTAAATGTTAAAAACTAGTTTTTATTTCTACCTGCGTTTTTGACTACAAGTACGTGCATTGTGCCCTTCTCTACCACAATTTCCACAAGTAATTACTCTATTGGTGTAACTACAAGTACGTGCATTGTGTCCTTCTTTACCGCAATTTCCACAAGTAATTACTTTATTAGTGTAGCTACAAGTACGTATATTATGACCTTCTCTACCACAATTTCCACAAGTGATCGTTCTAGTGCCAAACTACAAGTTCGTGAATTGTGACCTTCTCTACCAAGTAATTGTTGACTTTCTAGAATTGTAACTACAAGTACTTCTATCATGCCCTTCTTCACCACAAACTTCACAAATAACTGATCTTCTAGCACTACCACAGTCGTTATAGTTGAAATAATTTATAGCGGATTGAGAGGCTAAATCAAAATGAAAACAGAAAATTAGAAATTTTTATGTTAGTTTTATAGGGAAATAGTAAGTTTACTATTCATTTTCTTGCTAATCCTAAATAGGGAAAGTTAGGCAATGCGACGAATTCTGCTATCAACTATTATTAACTACAGAAATGATGCTTGACACTAAATTAACCAACAAGATCTTTCATCAAGATAGAATAGTCGTGACAATAAATCGGGTTTTTTTATATGATCTGTCTATTAGTCCGATAAAATATGAGGTATCATGTGATCGATACATTTTCCTGTCACGACTAGACTTGTTGTCCAAGCACACAAATCCAAAACCCGTCAAAAAATCATCATATATGAAAAAATAACCTTATTAATATTTTGCAATTATAATACTGTAAGAATCAGATTATTTTTTCAATAAAGATTACTTAATAAAGTTTTTGGCATATTAGTTTGGCCAGAGTTAGGATTTGGGAATGGACAAACCCAAATTTAATAGTTTGGGATTTTCAAGTTTTGGTCGTTATTTCCCTATTTCATTTTTACCCTTATAATTTATAAAAGGTTATATAGTACTTACTTACTATTTATTAGAAAAAAATATGTTATAAACATATTAAATAATAATAATAATATAAATTTTTATAAAACAATATATACACTTACTATCTAGTATCAAACATGATTGTAAATTTATGTACGTTAAATAGTTATAAAAGATCGATGAAGAGAATACTGTATATTATCAAAGTGCTTTGTACTCACGATCTAAAAATTGATTAAAAATAAATTCGACAAATTTACAAGTTGATAACGAAGATTTATATGAACATTTCTTGATCTACAGTAAAAGCTTGAAATGACAAATTCCTACAGTACATAGCATTCTGATGTAACGAAACTTTTTTGTATATGTTTGAACATATAAATCGGTCTTTGAATATTTTCAGCCCGTGGATTTCGTTATATCGAGCTTTGACTGTACATCATAAGTTTTTTTTTTTTTTTGCTACGTTACTTCATACTTACATTCTTTGAGTTTATCAAAATGGATATAAATCTGTGTTAATAAATAAAACTCAATAATTTTAGTAAAATGATTTACTGTATGCTTACCTTCCAATGATTAGAAAATATGCAAAAAATATATATTAATAATATACAATTAACAGATACGCGTAGTGCATTATTAAAAACAACCTATTCCTACCATTTTTTGGCAAAGATGACGCCGTAGTAGAGGTAGATGTAGTTGAGTTTTCGTTCTTCATCTCATTTTTTTCTTTTGATGTTATAGTAAAATTATTTTGGAATAGAAAAATTGACTTGCTTCCATTTGTAATTGCAGTGTTTTTTGGTGTCAATACGGTAGCCGAGGTTACTTGAGAAGGTAAAGCAACGGGCTTATATTGTGTAATAAATTTTGTCTCAATATCTCTCCATAACTTAGATTCAAAGATTCGCTGATATGGACATATCTTATTCATAAAATCTTCAGCAGTAATTTGAGAATATCGGATATAAGGTAGACAGTTTTGAAGTATAGACTTTAAAGTTAAAAAATTTGCATAAGACCATTCATCAGGATTAGAACCTAGGCCTGAATTTTGAGCAACTCCCCATCTAATAACTTGATCCCAAATTTTGCCTTCATCCGTATGTACGGCCTCAAGTTTCAAAAAAGAGATCAAAGAATTTTCTGGAATATTTGTAAAATCTTCTGAATCAAACAGAACACTTGGATGTTTAACAATAATCTCATTGCAAAACTGTTGTAAACCTTTAAAATCATCACTTTCTAAACTTATTTTATAAACTTTAGCAAAATTCAAACATATCCACGATTTATGATTATTAATCAATTGCGTTTGCGAAGTATCAATTAATTCCTTGAGATTAAACTGATTGGCAGTACTTAAGAGATCAAGAATTGTAGACGCATCAATTTTATCAGATCGAACGAAACCACCGTAAATATACCTATATAATTTTTTTAAAAAAATCAAAATTATATTTGAATCAAGTAGAAATTGAATTCATTGATAAAAATATAACCTACTTGATAATAATTTTAAAAACATTAACAGAGACATGATGTTTACTAATTTTTTTAATATTTTTTTTATCAAAGCTTATCTTGTCTAACTCATTACGAAAATAAGAACATCGAAAATTTAAAATAACTGAATGGACTTTAAATATTTGACGATTCGACTTTTCACCAACTTCAATTAATACATTATAATCTTCATTTCTGAGAAGATCTGTTAAATCATCGGAAAGTTTTTTGTAGAATAATTCCATTTTTTACAAAATGTAAAAAGACGGTATACACGATTAAAAATACTGAACGTGCGAAACTTTGCAAAACTTTGCAAAAAAAGGAAAATTTAAACTTATACCTGACACCATTTTCACGTAATGATAGGTTAATTTACCAAATTCGGGTTCAATGACAGAATAACAGGCTTTCATGATTGGATGATCACAACCAGACATGTAATCGCTTACTTGATCGAGTTGACAACTAACGCTAACGCTAATCAATTGGCAAAAATCAACTAACGGCTAATCTCTGATTAACTGATTAACTTACTAGCTTATCATTAGTTGTTTTCTTGTGACCCTATTTCGTTGATTTAAAGTAGGTGTTGTACATTGAAATGGAACTACACTAAATTTAGAATCCGTTTAAGTGGATTTAAGTTAGAGAATTTATATTAACCTTATTTTTGATTCTGAATCAATTTGGCACACTAAAATAATAAATATTAAAATACTTGATCTGTAGCTATGTATTCTCATAATTTTAAAATAAAATAAAAATTTTTGTTTCTTAAAATATCATCAGTTTTCATCCTGTAAATTATCAGACTTTCCGGAAATTGATCTATCGCTAAACAGAAGGTTTAAGATAGGTCGTAATCATGTGTCGATGAAATCTAGGTTTTTCAGTTACCTTTATCGCAAAAAATAGCAATTTGATCAAAAGTTATTTTACACAAAGTTAACAAAAAATGGAAATAAGTACGCAGATGCTTTACGTAAAAATTCGAATTTTTGTCAAATAAGGGAATATTTGGCGATCAAAAAATTTATTTTAATTATGTACTGTAAGAAATTCGTCAGCCTAGTTCATCTTCCATCATTCTGATGGAAATTTTTAATAGTATCGTTAATTTTCTAAATTTTGTAACAGGTAAATTATATTTCAATAATGTATATTTAATTAGAATAAAAACTTCTTTAAAATATAAAAGGGATAGTTAAATTCATGTATTCAGAACTTTAAAAAACTTCACATACTTCAACTGATAACTTTATCGTTATGATTTAAGACCCTAGCGTAACCAATTTAAAAAATTTCGCTGATCATGTGATAGGCTGATCAACTACTAAAATTAACAGGGGGAACCGTCCAATGTTACACAAAGTTCATGTATTGTCACATGCTGTTAAGCCAATCAAATCGTAAGATTTAAAAGAATAAAAAATGCGAAAAAGAACAAAATTCAAAGCAAAATTGAAACTCCAATGAATTTAAAATTATAAATAAACGAATTATATGTTTCTGTAAAGTGACGAAGCATGCCATTATCTGTTTATTTATTAATTAATTGGTAAACTAACATCTAATATCTATAGGAACTTAGATAATCTTTTATATAATCTAGAACCTAGACATCTTTATACAATCTCTCTAATAATATAATATTTATTTTAATAGCGGTTTAAAGCTTTATATACATCGCAACTTAATTACTTCTCATATTTGTCTCCCATATCTTTTATCCTGTTAAAAAATTGTACAAAAATAAAATATATATAGTTAATTTACTATATTCGATATCATTATATATTATTAAATATTTGCTTAAGTTTTCAAAAAATCTTTTTACAAGTGTATAAAAAATTATATAAACTAACACTCAAATCTATGTTACCTTTGCTGAATCGTTGCTTTAAACTTTTTTTTTGGTTTTTATTGCCCAACGTCTAGAATATTTGGTGGTTTATAAATTACTTATTTACATATACATCTTTATAGTATATATCTATATATAAAAGTTGTGGAATTCACTGGGATTCAACTGATATTCTTAAACTACTATACAAAAACTTCAAGTTTACAAAGTGTTACTTTACACTTCAAAGCAGAATAAGTAATGTGAGCACTTTGAAAATATACTATAAAACAATATAAAAAAAATTTTTATGAATTGTGTAACAAATCTACAAATAATATGACGGTTCCCCCTGTTGATTGGTTATCGACTGTTTTGATCAACATGTAACATATCTAAATACTTAAATACGTGTCCTAGACTAAAATTTATAAATACTTTTTTTATCATTACTACCACATACTAATCTTATGAGAACATGAAAATGCTTTAAATAATTACTGTTAGCAATTCTTATATTGCTTCACAAAAAAAAAAACATGAATATAACATGTATCTCTTGGTTAACGTGATTTGGTGCCCTAATTGTATGATTCTTTTTCATTGTTATTGTTGGATTTATTAATTTTTTACATGCACTAATTTTTTTATATTTCAGATTTAGCAAGTCTCTATACTAAGTAAATAGAAATAAATACGAACGTGAACAATTTGAGTATGTCTAAGTTTGAATTTACCATGAATTGATTTGAAATTATATAGTAATCAAATATTCATGTAGGTTTATTATATATTGCCTTTATAGTCTCTTTTTTAGATGTATAAATTTGAACATTCTATTGATTTAAGAACCTCTCTAGAGGACTTGAATAAGTATAACTTTCCTTATAGCCCTTCTTTTATATTGTCTTATTTTTATGAAAGCTCTCCTCATACTGTGATATATTAATCTTAAAATTTTTTTAAAAAAAAGGAAAGTATCAATTTACAAGTATAGTTACCGTTCAAACCTAACTAGTTTGGGATTTTGTGACTTTCTAAGGTATTAACTATAGTTAAAAACATGGAACTTGTCCCAAATTTACTGTATAAATTGAGATTTTGGACAAAATTTTCAAATATAAGTACTATTTATTTCCCGCAACGGCAGGAATAAGAGGCACATCCCTGGTCATCTGGGGGCCCGAAGGGCCCACAGTAGGGTGGAGATCTACTGGGTTATTTTCCCATAGCGGCGAAATAAGGGTATTATTCTTTGTTTTTATATGATGTCATGACAGGCTTTACAACCCATAATCACTAGTTTGATCAATAAAAAAATTGAGTTTCTAGCAATGTTTGTTATTTCCTCGGAAGTTCAGGAAATAACAAACATTGCTAGAAACTCGATTTTTTTATTGATCAAACTAGTGATTATGAGTCGCAAAGCCCGTCATGACATCATATAAAAACAAAGAATAATAATTATTTGGACAGCAACTATATTTACGAGTAATGTTCATTTATAGTTTATATTTTTATGTGACAAGCTGTGATCACGATGTATATAAATTAAATTTATATATGTTATTATGTTCTCTAACTAGATATTCACATGTAGGTTTATTTTGATCAAGAAAGAGTATTAGAAGATGACCTTGCAAGAATAAACCTTCAAATTTGAATCTTTGGTATAATGGCTTTGGATCGGAAAGAAGAAAAGCATTAGCAGGTAAACTTTTTGAGAACACCATGTTGAAAGATTTGAATATTTGATATAACTAATTTGTATTAGAAAGAAGAAAACACTAGCAAATGCATATCACAAAAACAACGCTCCTTATGACTTTCATATATCAAAAATTAAATAATTCTGGACATGAGACAATAATTTCAGAGATGCTTTTTTCAAAGAGAAGTCCATGAAAATGAAGAATGAAAAGGAGGAAAGTACAAGTCACTCTTGTTATAGTAAAGTTGTTAGGCTGAAGAATTTTCTTCACTATATCGAGATATTCACTATATCAAAAACTCTTAATATAGTAAAGTTTATATTTAAA